TCCTGCCAAGAACTAAGGATTTATTCTGTATCCACAAAGCGACCTGAATATTTTCTGCTGTTCCCCATCGATGGCCTGTTTACATGTTTATTAACTTGAAGTTCAACTAGAAAAAAATCAAACTCCAGCGTGGGGCTTCAGAAATGCCTCTGATTTGGTGTCTTCTTTCTAATAGTGTTCTTTAACTTACATTCATACAATTGGACAGGGTGACGGGTTTATGACTTTTATTAACAGTGAGTCACTCATTCCAGAAATGGAGAGGACATTGTGAGTTTCCATTTGGCATTTTGCATTGGATTTTATTAAACATTTATTGCCCACTTACTGGACCCAAACTCCTATACCGGGGCATTGATAGATGACATGATAGTTTTCAGTCAACAAAAGCATCATGCCACAAAGTAAACACGTAATTAAGATGTCTTCTTTCTATAGGGTTCAAGGATAAAGCCATTTTGGTTTTGTTTAATCTGTACCCGAATCATCCATTCAAGTCATTGTTTCAAATATGCAGTTAACCATGTCCCAGCATCTAAAAGCCAGCATACCTAATAGGCAAGTTTAAAAAAAAAAAAAAGGCTATTCTTCCCAGCCTATGTTGAGTCTAAAGGAAGCTTGACAAATAGTTGTGGGGTCCTTTGCCCTTGAAATTGACTATTTGTCTGAGTGGTAAGAGAAGAGAACCACAGTGTCCTAAATCAGCCACTGGGGTAAAATCCTCTAATGGTGATGGGAAGGCACAGAAGGCACAGGTACAAATTAGAAGAGTTAGGGATTATGAATATTGTTATTTTTTGTTGTCCCTTGTTGCGCACATTTATTGTATCCAGAGACTGTGTATGAAGGAAGGAACTTTTAATAGGTGTCCCCTGTCCGGGAGAAAAGTTCGAGCCTTGCTTTTCTCCAGAACAAGAAACCCATCTTTAAACCCTGACTCGATGCAGCAATAAAAGTGAATTGAAATGAATTGGGGGTTTGCAATAGTACCAAGTCCAATATGGGTTATTCAAGTTGTCTCTCTTTTGAACCGTGCATAGTCCAAGTCTGGTTGTTATTTCTGGCCCCATACAACACCTGAAAGTGTGGATGTAGAAATTATTTTTATAAAGATCTTGACTGAGATCGAGTTGTGTTGCTTACACCCTGTTTGTCTGCAAAACCTAGGCAGGGCACTTTGTAGCGGGAACAGCATTATGAAAGGTGGAAGGTGAAGACGAAGGGCCAGGAAGGAGACGAGCATTGGTTAGCCACCAGAAGGCATCCAGGCACGGTGACGAGTCCCTGATGCCTGCTCTGTGCCAGGCAATCTTGTAAATCAGTGAGCAGAGCAGATGCGTCTCAGTACCCTCCTGGAGCTTACATGTGAGCAACAGTGAGAAACCTTGTTTCTGGTCTTTGAATAACGTCGTTTCATGCAACATTTTGTTTCGTTCTAACTTGGATGAAAGGCTGCAGGAACTCAACTCTTGTTTATATCAATTAGCCTGTGGGAAAATTGGTTTCGTTATGTGTCATTTCCCTTCAAGTCATAGAACTTATCGATAAGGATAAGTGAAGACTTACTGTACAGCAGGGGAGATTCATGACAGCCTTCTACAGAGGAGATGAAAAAATAAAAAATAATGGCATGGAGGGAGGGAGGGAGGAAAGAGCAGAGAAGGGAGGAACCAGGGTAAGAAGGAAGAAAGGAAGAGAAGAAAGAAGGGAAAGAGGAAGAAAATGCCCATTCATCATGATGACTAACTAGAGACAAAGAGACTCCTTGGCCAGCTCTAGATGGCAATGAGAAAGAGGTAGCTGAGCCAATCGTGCATCTGGGAGACTCACAGACTTTCTCCCGGAGGCCTCTGGTCCAAAGCATGAACTATGGATTGTACCGAAGCATACTTGGCTTCCTGGGAAGGTGATATTTAAGCCAGGAGCTGCTGTGTAGTCCTCCCTGTATTCCTCTAACAACCTAAGAACCCCTCCCCCCGAACTGGCCCTGCATAGAGGAGCCCCCAAAGCATTGTATTGAGACCTTATCCTGCATCAGAAGGGACATTTTGTCACTGTAGCAAAGGGGCTACAAAATGGATTCCTGGCTGTGCACTTTTAGCAGCTTGCGCCCCCCTCTCTCCACTGCCGAGCTTCTGTTTCCTGTTTTCTCTCAACATCTAAGTCCTCCAAGAATTACTGTAAAACCTGCTTGTCGCTGAGAGGGATCTCGTCTCGCTCGCTCTGCACCGCAGCCAGCGGTAACGAATGGGTCAGCATAATTACTGTGTTTCCTCACGCAGACAGCCAGCTGCTCCAACCAGACTGCGAATTCCTCATTGTCTTTATTTCAAAATCCAGGGCGTTGCCTATGAAAACTTAATATTTGAACTGTGGCAAGATACAGTTGGGAGTCAAAGCCACGCTCACTCATTTTTCGCCCTAGTCCCAAAGGCCAACATCTCAGATCTCGTTAGTCCTGGGCTTTTATGACATTAGGGTTTACCTGCTGTCCCCATTGAGATTGGCACCTGTGTACAGTTTCAAGCCACAGTTCTTTGAAACGGGAGCCAGGAAACGTGGTTGCTAGGGGCTGGCAAGCTGAGAGTTAAGCACAGCTGCATGATTCGTCTATGACAACAATTTTCTTTAAAAGGTTACAAATAACCTGTATGGTCTTCTCAGACACAAATAGAAAGATAAAATCATTCTGGCTTGGTTCTCCAATCCTAGCATTTCAGCCGCATCGTGAGAGAAAATATGGTAGAATCCATGAAACCGGCTGGCATTTCGCCATGGAGGAACCCACAGAGAATTCCAGATGACGGCCAGTGAGCCTTCAGTTCGGGCCCAAGGGTTAGATTCCAATTCACGCAGTTCCGTGAGATGGTGTAGACCTGGGCGTGAGTCCTGTGGGAAATCCCACGCCCCCCTCTCCCCCCACTACTCGCAAACAGCTGCTCCAGGGACTGGGAGTAATGGGGGGAGATGGGATGGGAGCGTGTCTACTCTTAAATGTGATGGCGGGAAGGGTAAAGCCTGCCGGGGCCGTGTGGATGGAGGGCGCCGACCACTGTAACACAGCATGGACTACAATACCCCCCGAGAGGTTAGGTGGTCCTTAAAACAGAGTTCCCAGAAGAGCCACGTTTGGGTGTGTTGAGTTAACAAGTTAGAGTTTTCTTCCCTGTAAGGCCTTTCGGAGCCTTTATGTTTATACCTGCCACCAAAAGAAACTGTCCTTCCCAGCCTTGCATGCCATGACAGACACGGCCTGAAGTCCCAGGAAAGCTGGGGCAGGGGGGGAGGTTGTGAGGGGCGGAAAGCCATCGCCCCCTGGTTCATCTCACTGGTCTGCCTCTCTTTGGAAACCCTCAAAGCTCCTGTTAGGTCAGCAGGGGGAGAGAGGAAAATGGGGCCAGGAGAGATGGGTTAGTGGACTGTCTGTCCATCCTGGGGCCTGACCACAGCCCACGGCTTCGTTCACTTGGTCACATGTTGATGTCATTCATACAGTCATTCCAATGCCCAATATTAAAACACGGGGAGACAGGAGGAGATGCAAAGATGAATGGGATATGGAGATAGGCCTCCAGGAGCTCGCAGACTAACAGGAGAGGTACAGCGGAGCAAGTGACTGACCTTCCTTTTCTCAAAACCAATGCCTGTGAGAGGCTAGGAGTCCCCAAAGTCAAGAGTTCCTGGAAAAGTGAAGTTTTAGGGTGCTGGGTTAGCTTTGTTAAAGCACCCCCTCCCAGTGAGACTTTCTGAGCCTTCAATGTATTGGGTCGTAGGGAAAGTCATGATGCATTTTTGCATTGAAAAGCATAGAGAAATACGTCATGACTCTCCCGAAGACCCAATAGATCTCCTGGGACAGTGGTTGTCCACATGGTTTTTCCTAGAAAAGCACGCCCTCTGTGCACGATGGTTTAGGCAACACTGCCAGATGACTAACTGGGACGAGACCGCCTGGTCAGCATGATGAGAGCTCTGTGGGAGTCAGAGAACCGGCAGGAGCTGGAAGGCTGACGGGGTTTCCTGAGGCCCCTGGGTTAAGATTTGCATGTGGTGGGAGGAAGGACATCCCAGGCAGAGAATAGAATTAATTATCAGGGGTTTTGAACAACAGGCTTAATTTCCCTCTTGACTCATCAAGTTATACTGCTCAGAGAATTTCCCCTTGGGAAAGAAAGCCCTGCCCACGCCTTCTTCTTAAGAGTTGAGTTCCCAGACCCCTCTGTTATGAATGCTGTGTGTGTTTTAAACCTGCGGAAATGGTTACGGGGCTGATGAGATGTTGGTAATGATTTGTTTCTTGGAGCATGAGGTGTAGGTACACTTATGATGCAGAACACTGTGTTTCAATTAAAACATATTAACAAGCAATACACGTATGTAAAGGAAAATGTGGGAAATAAGTAAAAATGGGATGAAGAAAAGGTATGAGTAGACAATTAACACGCAGTTTAGCCCCAGCGATAAGCGTGAGCTCATTGAAATATGTGTGTATGTGTATATACAATTATATACACACATAAATATACATATATGCATATTCACATACACATATGCACACACATGCACATACATACACATGTATATTGTGTGCTCAGACACAAATATATATTACACACTAGACATATGAGTGTATAGGTATGTGGATTGGGTGGGTGGGTGGGTGGATGGACCGACAGACGTGTTCAGAACACATTGCTCATACATATTAGGATCCACTTTAAAAAAAATAAGTGCAGCGAGCTCTGATCTATTTTGAAGAGTTCTTTGTCAGTATTTGTCATTTACCACAGCCTTGTGGGCACAGGGACCACCGTGGTCGGCAGCCCGTCCTTTCTGGAATCAGACCTGGGCCCCCGCCCAGCTGCCACTTTTGACTCCCGGAAGTGCGGGGGGTGCTGTCCAGCCTTGGCCTGCAGGGAGAGGGGTCTGGATGGGGGGGGTACTTCCATGGCAGCATGCATCTGAAAGCCTTTGCCTTGCTGTCTCCTCTCGCCCCACAGTGCCCGGCTTCCCGTATCCAGCCGCCACCGCCGCGGCCGCCTACCGAGGGGCGCACCTGCGAGGCCGCGGCCGTACTGTGTACAACACCTTCCGGGCCGCGGCGCCCCCACCCCCGATCCCGGCCTATGGCGGGTAAGTGGGGCAGCCTCCTGGGCGGGCCTCCCTGCACCAGCCCCCTCCTGTTTGTGAGCGCATGCTGGTCTTGACTGCCCCACCGGAAAGCCCCAGCATGCAGCCCTGCGCGCCTGCCGTGGAGCACCTTGCAAAGAGTATTGAAAAATGAGTGTAATTTGTCCTGTCATGGTTGGTGCCTTTAAGCATTCTACATGTCACATGTTGTTATGTAAATGCTCTTTGAGACTGAATGCTGGAGAACAGAGAAATGGTTACAGCCAAAGATGGAGTTCTATGATTGCAAACGTCTGGTAATTAAGGAGGTTGGATCACATTTGCCCCCTTGACTCCGTCCATGGACGGACATAAGGTTTTCAAGCATAAAAATTACTGGGGTGGTCTTGCTCCCCTTCCCAAAGACACCTTTGTGCTTCAAGGTTTATGAATCTTTGGCTGGGAAGAGAAAATTAGGTGTGGAGTCAAATGCAAACATTCAAGAGTTCAAGGAAATGAGAATGAAGCCTCGTTTTAGCTGGATTTTCCAAAATGGCATTGCCTTCCTTTCCTCTCTGGAAGGAAATGCAAATTAATGTGTTCCCCGTGGCCAGTTCGGTATTTCTGTGCAGGGACCTTGGTATTGCCAAGCACTATCAAGGAATGGTGGTGAATACTCAAACAAACAAACAGAAAACCAAAAAACCATGGTACTGGTGGTGGGCTGCAACCCTGAGCTGCTACCCTTTCTGCTTCCTGCTAAGGGATCCTCCTAGAACATTCCTGCACACCGGGAGTCAGGGAGAGAGGTCTGTCTCTAGGGCAGTGGTCCTCAAGGGACATTTGGAAAGTGCAGAGAAATTTTGGTGTCACAACAGGAGCAGGGAGGTGTGACTGTGTCTAGTGGGTAGAGGCCAGGGATACTGCCAAACCTCCTGCTGTGTATAGGACACTCCCCCTCTCCCCCTCTCCCCCTCCTCCCAACACAAAGAGTATCAGGCCCCAAATGTCAATTGTGCTGCTCTAAGGAAAACTCAGCTATGCCCACGACAGCCTGGTAGGATGCTTACCTTGCTACGACTGGTTGTCTTGTCCGTAGAAAGAATATGGCTGTAATTCAGAACTGTGTGAAAAGGGTTAAATGCATTTTTTTATAGCTCTGTTGTTTATGAATCTTTAAGAAAACTCAAATTAGCCTAGATCATCTCTCTATTATACTGATGACAAAGGGACACACTCTTTTTCATTATTTATTCATATCTCACCCATTCCAAAGGAAAGCTTTTGAAGCATTTCGAAAACAAATGCAAGCATTTCGAAAACAAACGCAATGAGACAGTTAAGGCTATAAAGAAATGAAACATCAGGAGGGGAAAATAAAGACAGAGAAAGAAGACAAAGTCCACTGTTTCTGGCGTTGTCATTAGAGTTGGGTCAGTTCCAGGCTTTTTAGTGGACAAAATACAAAAAAAAAAAAACCCCACAAAAATTGTACTGGAAAGATTGTGGGTAATAAGAAACCAAGGGTGAATTGGCCCTAAATTCTCCCCACCCTATAAAATACTGTGTCTGCATGTCCTAAGCCTCATGTATCTGAACCATGTGATACAAACAAATCATTGATAGTATAATCATTATCTTCAGCCCCATAGTATTGAGCCCATTTTATGGACCCAGCAAGGTAGAAATAAAGATTTGTTACTCCCAAGGTCACATGATGAGTTATGAAGGAAAAAAATAAAACCCAACTTACCCACTAGGGTCATGTAATTACTTAAGCAAGATTCATAAGCCATAAATGCAAAATTACATGTTTATACCACATTAGTGTGTCTGAAAATCATTATCCTATGTTAGTAGCTGGTAATTGTAGCTTTCCAATCTATGTATCTTTAGTATCTCACTACTCTATTGAACAGAAAAAAAAATAAAGTAAAATTATATGGCTTATCCTCACATGAGCAGTTTATTTAAAAATCTCAGAAGAACACAGCTGCCGTACAATTGAAATTTGCAAACTTATGATGAACTTGCTCTTTACCAAGAATAACCACGCATAACTAATTAATGCCACATTCACCAGGGAGAAACATGGGCATCTCCAAATGGTGAAGCAATGTGGCAATGTGTTTGTGACTGCTTTGGCCATGATTCTATATTAATAATATTCCAGTGATATTTCTAGTCATTTTGGTTATAATAGTGGATTGTGGCTCTTTCCTCGGATTGCTGACTGGAATCCTGAACCCACATTTAGCAGTAAGATGAAATTCTTAGGATGGGATGAGTAGTGAGAGCAGAAGGGCCAGGGTGTGAGGGTGTCCATGTCTGTAAGTGCTGTAAGAGCCAAGTGCTGGTTGAAAAGGAGGAAATTCAGCTAGTGAGTTGCCTGGGTGTTTGGACCGATTATAAATTGGCTGGAGCACATTGGCACCAAATGAACAAATGGGAACCCAGCATCTTAAATGAAGGATGCTCTTCTCCTCCGGCTTGTTGGGCTTAGGCTGCAGGAGACTGCGGGGATAGCTCCTTTTGGAAAGGAGAGCTGAGATTGGCTGGAGGACCGAGGGCCCTGACCTCGCGTTGAGTGGAGGCAGGTAACAGAGGTTGGAAACGCACTCCTCTTTCCAGGAAGTGACATCATCAAGATGCAGGTGGCCCAGGAGATAGTATGGATTTCCTGTAGCTGTTTGTCTCCGTCGTCCTTTAAAAAGGGGGGAAGAGTTCTAGATTTGATTGATGTCTGTACTTCAGTCCAGTTCGCTTAACACCCCTTTTCTCAGCTCCACGATGTCTTGCACTAAGGGCGCTGAGGCTAATTCATCCAGAAATTCTAGAGGAACTTCTTCTAGTTGTGGGCAGAGGGTGCCACATAAAGCTAGCAGTTCCAATAAATGTGATTAAGTGATAAGGTAAGGTGTTGTGTCACTACCAGGGAAGGACCCTTTGCCCAGCTTGGGCGATTAGAGAAGGCTTCCAGGAAGAGAAGAAATATTTGACACCTTTATATCCAATTATTTCCTAGATTGCCACGTTAAGATCTCATTCTGCGAGTCTCCCTCACACCCAGTGATCCCCATCTTTTCTATGACGTCACCTAGCTAACTGCATTTATTCAGGAAGAATTTATTTCCCCCATTGTCACCAGTGGAAGACAGGTCTCTAACTGCCAACCTAACCCTCTGCCCTTCACAGAGCATCCAATCAGAATATACTTGGTTATTAGAATTCCAACCAAAAGCCTGTCATTTATCCTACATCCATGCGTGGGCTTCTGTGTTTTCGTTCTTTCTGTGAGACCGACACAAAAAGTGCCACAGAACATGCATGGCTGCTTTTGTGGAGCTGTGGGTGACCCTTGGAGGTATCAAACATTAAGATAGCCTCCCGGGAGGATTCCCCAAGGGTGTCCTGCACGCTTCCGTTTCCTTTCATTAACTTGGCTTTCCCCTCCACATCCTGGTATTTTCTGAAGTCCCTCCCAGCAAGTAAAGAACACAGGTTATGGACAGGCCCTCATTCTCTGTCTCTCATAGCTGAAAAGACACTCCTTGTCAGGGTGAGGGGTGCAAGGGCTCTCCTTGGACCATGGAGGGATCACAGAAATGGGTGCAAACCCCTAAACTAAGTCAGCCAGCCCCCTCCTGATCGCCAACATTGACTGAACGAGAATGGGTGATGAGTTAGAAAGTTAGAGTCTACACAGTCTATAGGATCGTTACCGTCCTATAAAGACATTGACCTTGGGGCAGATGAGATTGGCCCCTGCTAGGCTATGTCATACTACGCTGGGTAGCTGACTTAAGCTCTGTAGGCACAGTTGCATTAACAAGAAGTGAAGACTATGCCTGCCTCCATTGAGTTGATGGAGGATGAGGTAGGGAGATTCACGTAAGGTTACTACTTAGTAAGTTCCATCATATGACGCCTATTTAGTGGATTGTAGCTGCTGTTGTTCAGGTGGATGCAGTTATGGATCCTCTGTCTCTCCCTGAATGCATCACTTACCCCTTTGTTGGGGGGCCGCCTGCAGTTCACAGACCTTCGTTCCCCACAAGCCACCGAGATGGCTTTGGACGGAGCACGTCAGCAGCTTGTGGAATACATGGGTCATAAAATATTAACTAGCGAACAGTCTCAAAGAGAGCTGAATGGACCAGGTGTTCCATATTTCTCCTCGCATTTGATCCTCAAGTCAGTTTTGATAGAAAAGCCACATTATCCAGTCTGACCTCCTGTGACTCATAGTGGGGAGAAATTTCCCACCGGGTAATTGCCATCCATTGGAGCGTGCAGACCCATGATTTGTGGATGGAGATGGCAGCCCAAAGGAACCTCATGAGATTGGTCTCAGCAAGTTCTTATTCTTCATGAGTTAATTAATTACAAAACAGTTATTGATCGAGTGCCTACCATGCACCATGCATATTGTAGAGGGCTCCAGTAGGGTGCTCTAATGGAGCTGCCTTGAAGACTTTTTTGAGATAAAATTGATTTGGTTTTATTTATTTTTAAAAGATTTTTATTAAAGTATAGCTAACATACAATATTATCTTAGTTTCAGGGGTACACCATAGTTATTCAACATTTATATACCTAAAGAAGGGATCATCGGAAGTCCAGCAAACATCTGACACCGTACCACACTATCACAATATTATTGACTATATTCCCTATGCTGTACATTATATCAGGTGTACAGCATAGTGGTACCATACATAGTTACTACCATATTACTGATTATATTCCCAATGCTTTACATCCCATTGACTATTTTGTAACTTCCAATTTGTATTTCTTAATCCCTTCACCTTTTCTACCCTGCCCCTAAACCCCTCCCATCCGTCACCCAATAAACCTAGTACCCATGTGACAGCATACATAGTTACTACAATATTATTGACTATATTCCTTGTGCTATACCCTACATCCCCATGACTACTGTGTAACAAGCAATTAGTACTTCTTAAT